CTCACCAGGAAGGCCCCGCCCCCGTACGTACCCCGTTTGGGGCGCAGGCGCAGTGTGGCGCCCGCCTAGCGTACCCACGCAGGCATGTCCGCTGCAGCTCGGGCCGCCAGGGGGTGCGCGTCCAGCCTTGACAGGAACCGCCTGGCGCTGGGACAAGGGGAAGCTGCTTTTCCCAGGTATCATGAGAGAGAACACGACCATTCACCCTATCCCTGAGACCCCTGATTTCTTCTCCAGGTATCCTAGGCAACCTTTGCTACCTGAACAGTCGCCCATTTGCCTACAGGGCCCATGTGCCTCCAATTCCCCCTCCACAATTCTGCAGAGGTCCTAAGTGCCACGGACCCTGTGTGTCCAGCATCCCCTGATCCCTCCCAACATGTCCCTCTGGACCCTTGGGACCCATCTGCCCATCTGATGTACCATCCCTCCACTCGGTGTGTGGGTTGGGGCCTTGGAGCTACAGCCACTGGCCCTGGGTCCCTGCACCTGCCTTCTCTATGCCCCTGTAGCATAGAGAAGGTGAAGAACAGCCAGGCAGGGCTTACTGTAAGCAGTGAAAGCTTTCCCCCTTCAACACCCCACCTGTACCTCTTTTGCTACCCCTAGGATCCTTAGCGCCCCCTGCACAAGACTCCATGTCTAGTGGTCTGCACAGTGAATTCACGGAGGCCGGGTGAGGAGTTTAGCACCCAGGGACAGGCTCACCTGCGGGGGACCGCCCAACTTGGACACCCTTGCTTGTTAGCTGGCCCACATGGTGACCTAACTGCCATGGGCAAGGAGGCCTGGTGGTGGGAGCCGCTAGAAATGTTTGGTCTTGCTCTGTCTCAGGCACTGATGCTTCTATTAACAGGACACTGGTTAAAGTTTAAAAGCCTGACTATACTAATGTTGCAGAAGATACAGAGACTATACTGCTGGTGGAAATGTCAGATGGCATAACAACTTTAGAAAACGGCTTGGCAGTATCTTAAAAATTTAAAGATACACAAAAGATCCACCATTCTGACTACCCAGCATGCATCTACAGTAAGATCTGTATAAAACTCTGTGGCACCTTTATTTCTTGTCATATTTATCTTAGACTTCCATTACAAAATATTACAGATTGGGTGGCTGTAACAGCAGAAATTTCTCTCGTTGTGGTGGGGTGAGACAAGGTCTCACTTTGTAGTGCAGGCTGGCCTTGAACTCACAGTGATCCTCCTGCCTCAGTCTCCCAAGCTCTAGAATTATAGACCTGCACCACCACTCCCAGTTCAGAAATTTATTTCCCACCGTTTTGTAAACTGGAAAATCCAAGATCAAGGTCCCATCCTATTTGGCTCCTGTTAAAGATTCTTGGCTTGGAAATGGCTGAGCTCTGGGTTCTTACACTGAGTCTAGAGAGTAGAAAGAGAGTGACTGTCAGAGAGACAAAACCCTCTCTCCATAAGGCTACTCTCCTTGTCTGATTAGTGTCCCTCCCAAAGGATCTCTTTTAACTACTTAGTTACCTTCTAAAAGCCCTATATCTGATGCAGGTACATTCGGCATTAGAGCTTTAGCATATGAATTTATCAGAGGAGGGGGACACACAATTCAGTCCAAAATGCTTTTGATGGTTGTGGTGTGGGTTTTTTTGTTTGTCTTGTTTTGTTTTGTCTTTTTGAGACAGGGTCTGGATATGCAGTTCAGGCTGGCCTTGAGCTCACTCCTGCCTCAGGCTCCTGACTGCTGGGATTACATGTGTGCACCACCACACTCAGCCCCAGAATGTTTGCTAATACCTCAGAATTTTGAACAACCTAAAAGTCCATCAGTAAGTGAATGGATCAACAAGCATGTATATTCATGCAGTGGAATACATCTCATCAGTAAAAAGGAATGAACAGTTTGGATGAATCTCAGTGATGGTGCTATGGGTTAGAGGAATATATAGCTCAGTGGTACAGTACACACTTAACATGTTTAAAGCTCTGAATTTGATCCCCAGTGCCACAAAAAATTTTCATCAAAATAATTATGATCAGTAAAAGAAGCCAGGTCTTCAGAGTTTTCTTGTGCAAAGGTTAAAAAAAAAAGGCCAGGTCCTCATAAAAGAGTACATGTTTCATGATTCTATTTATGTAAAACAAACCAGGTATGCTCTTGCACACCTATAATCTCAGCATATGGGAGGCTGAGGCAGGAGTATCTGTGCAAGTTCAAGGCCAGCCTGGACTATATAGTGAGTTCAAGGCTACCCTTGAACTCAAGACACTATCTCAAAAAGAGACAAAACCAACAAAAACTCACAAGGATTTAGGGAGTTTGGCTCTTCTCAATGTGATTATAATCAATGCTGATTAAACATAAGCACCAATATTGCTGCCAAACAGCTCAGTCGGGCACAATAAGGCCATTTGGAGGTTTTATTCCTAATTCCACTGGCGATCTTACCATACATACCTCATCACCCCAGTTTCCTAAGGGGGTACATTGAAGCTTCAGATGATGCAGTGACTGAGGTCCTGCCATGCTGTTTGCATGGCAAATGAACCCCCTCCTCTGCCAGCAGCCTCCACAACACAAGCAGTGCCCTTTAGCCCATCTTTGTCCCTATCCCAGAATGGCAGCCCAGCTTGCTCAGTGAAGTTCTATCTGGCATCCTAGGCCCTTGCCCCTGTAATTCATCCTTGGATGAATTACAGCCATCATTCCTTTACCACCCTCCAGGCCTTAGTATCTCCCAGACTTGAAGTGCTTTCCCATGCCATCCAGTGGACCAGCTCTATACCAACACACCTGGAAGCTTCTCCTAATGGCCCACTTTCCCCAGTCCTTCGACATTGTCCCAGCCTACAAGAGTTTCCTTTCCAAAGAGCCACAGGACCTCAAGCTCACCTTCTTCAGTCTGTAAGCATCCTGCTAATCATCCCTATGCACCTGAATACCCAAACCCCAAATGCAAACCTGCAAAACCCACAGTCCCTGACTGTAGAAAAAAAAGGGCTTCTATAGTTAAAAATGAAACCAAACCACTCCCTGTGACTCAAAGGAAAAAGAGGCCCAGTCTTTCTGAGAATTCCACCTTGGCACCCTCGTCAGCCACCATAGTTGCTGCCAACACCTATAGTTTCACTCCCTGATCCTGACTCATCTATTTCCAACCAATTGAACCAGTTCCAGATAGCCACTGCCTACATTCAGCCACAGAGGCCCTCCTCCTGAACCTTCTGCTTTGAGGTTACACATATCCTGGTCAGATGGCATCATCTAACACCCACCCGAGATGACTTTCAGAAATTCTTTCTGAGTTCCACATTTTGAATAAGGAAAAATTGGACTGTCAGCCCGGATGAATGAGTTGCCATGGCCTTTCTCAAAGGTTGCCTCACCTAGACACCTAATATCAGTCAAGTGCTTCTCAAAGACATCAAAAAGGGGGAACAAAGCCCATAAATAGCTCAAAAGCTCCTACTATTTACCCAGAAGCCTGATATGAAAACTATGGGACTAAAATAAAATAAATACCCCCTCTGTGAGACACAAAGAAACCTGATTATCTAGGCCCACCTCAACCTGAATCTCTCCTTGCCCTGTCAGGCCTGGATGGATAGGACAGACTAAGCCCTATCGTATCAGGTCCCGGATATCTCATAGTCATTGCAAAAGTTTGGGGCAAACCTGCGGATTTCCTGGTAGACAATGGAGCAGAACTCTATGCCTTAAAAAGTCCCCCATGTCAAACAGTTACCATCATCAGGGCAATTGGGACTCTTGCCTCTCACCCTTTCTGCCAAGCACAAAATTGCAGCCTGGGAGACATCTCACCAAACATGAATTACTGTATAAGCCAGTCCCCATTTCGTTTCTGAGAAGCAACTCCCCTTCGAGTTAGAAGACACTGTCTCCTTTGCAGCAAGCCAGTCAACCTCCCTCTCATTCAACCCTGTACTTTCAATTTTGACTGTTCCCTAAGAGAAAGATGATGCCTGCATCAGCCTGAGACAGACAAGTGCAATCTTGAAATTCTAAAAACTCTCCTCCCAAAGATATGAGACAAAGACTTGCCTCCAAGCCTAGCCATCAACCATGCCATCTCACTATGACCACCATTGCTGTCAGATGTCACAAGAGGCACAAACAGGCATCAAGCCACATAGCAGTTGAAGATCCTTGACTAAGCCAGCAGCACCTTTTCTCCAAGACAACCTATTTCTCTGTCCCCTCCTGCTTGCCATCATGGTCCCCTGAGAAAAAAATAATAGATTGTCAAACTGCTAAAATAAACCTCTATTTCCTGTAAAGCCAGCTCAAGATCACCCAGCTGTCAATGCCCATGCAATTGTCCTCCACATTCATTGCCCCAGTCTTCTGCCACCCATAGCCTGCTGGTACACTGGCCTGGACCTAAAGAATGCCTTCTACTGGGTGTGGTGGTGCACTCCTATAATCCCAGCACTCAGGAGGCTGAGGCAGGAGGATTGTTGGAAGTTTGAGATCAACCTGAACTACAAAGTGAGCTCAAGGCCAGCCTGAACTGCATAGTGAGATACTGTCTCAAAAAGAAAAAAAAAAAAAAAGAATGCCTGCTTCTGCCTTCAATTGACTCCTGTCAGACAGTCCCTTTTACAACTGACCTGGACTCAACTTCCCTAAGCTTCAAAAGATTGTTTCCTTCTTCTTTCTCCTTTTGGGTACTGGGAATCAAGTAGGACCTTGCACTTTCCAGGCAGGTGCAGTGACACTAAGCTATATCCCTGATAAACTTTGTTTTTTAAAAAGCATTTCTGATTAATGACAAGCAGATGTCCCCTATGGACAGTTGCCCCAAGAGAGCAAAACAATCAATCCAACATTTGACCAAGATTTGATGAGTATCCGAGGCACACTAGACACTCTCCTAGCTTAGATGAACTCCCTCACTACCTTGCCAGAGTAATGTTAAGGACAGGCCTGAATTATGTCTCCTAAAAGCAATTTAGGAGGGGCTGGGGGGTTATAGCCCCAGCGCCAGGCGGTTCCTGTCACGGATGGACGCGCGCCCCCTGGTGGCCCGAGCTGCAGCCGACATGCCTGCGTGGGTACGCAAGGCGGGCGCCACACTGCGCCTGCGCCCCAAACGGGGTGCGTCCGGGGGCGGAGCCTTCCTGGGGAGGGGCGCGGCGGGGAGGGGCGCGGCGGGGCGGGGCGCGGCGCGGCGCGGCGGGCTGGCAGGGCGGAGCTGTGTTCAGAGGTGGCCAGGCTATAGTTGTTCCAGGTGCGATGGGGCGGGGCTCGGAGGGCGTCTGGAGGGGTCCGGGCCTGGGGTTTCCTAGTACCCTTCCTTAGGGTTTTGCAGCAATCCAGCGCTAGAAGATTCGTTGAGGGTGTGGGACTGGACGGGGATTCTGGTCAGCGGGAGGCCCTGGGTCTTTTCTGAGAGGGAGGAGCCCCGGAGCGTGCCGGGGTATTCAGCAGAGGGGATGGCCTGGGAGCCAGGCGAGGGGTGGAGGCTCTGGACGCCGTTGGGCGGGGCGTAGGGCGTGAGGCGTGGACTGAGGTCGACGGGCTAATTCCGTAGAGGTTCGGGCCAGACCGCGGATTGTAGCTGGTAGTTGGAGAGCGGAAGAGTAGCAGCCTCCAGGGAGGGCCTCGAGGGTTTTCGGGGCCTGAACCTTTAAGATTATGGGAAAAGGATGTGCTCCCTAGATTGTTAAATTGTTCACGAGTCTGTGTGAATTGTAAAGGGTATGCAGAAATTTGATGCCATTTATTATGTGTCCCAAACACACAGAATACTTGTACTAATCCAGAAAGGAAGAAATAAAATTTGTGTTTAGAGAGGTGCAACCAGGGGCCAGGGATTTAGCTCAGCGGCATAAGTGCCTGTTTGCCAATCGCGAGGTGGTGAGTTCAATCCCTAACACCAAAAACCAAAAACCAAACAAAAACAAAAAACAGGTGGCAACCAGAATGTTAACTGAGAATTCTGGTCCTAGGTAGTTTCTCTTGATGCATCCCCTGACAGCTCGCTAGCCATTAGTGCGCTGGACTCTGGAGACAGAAGTCACAGACAGTGGCTTGCCTTATGCCATTGTCGTGGAACACCAGTCCCAGGTACAACTCTGTTCGACTTGATAGGATCTGTCTTGGAGCTGGCAATACAAATAGTGATCTTACTCCAGCACTGCAGGTTAGAGACTGGGTATAGGGTACTGCACCACCTCCAGTGACTCCAGATAAGGCAAGCTGTGCTTGGAAGTCACATTAGACCTCTGGTTGGTTCTCTGTGGAGCTGCTCCGTGGCCCTACAGGCTTTGACCTTACCCTATGGGGGGACACCCGTGATGGAGCAGGTGATGCTTCACTGACAGTGCTTGGGCTGCTGAAGGGTGGGTCCCACACAGCGCTGTGGTCATTTTCAGGTTAGTTCTAAGTTATCCATTCATAATCGGGTGCTCTTCATATGTGCTTCCTATACCACTGCCCTCTGTATTGCAGGTTGGCAACCTCATGCTCCACATCAATGGAGAGTCAACACAGGGCCTTACCCATGCCCAGGTCTTGCAGCGGATTTGTGCTCGAGGCCCCAGGCTGTGCCGTGGGCCCAGGTGGCCTCCTGACAAGGCTGAAGGTCTGGAAGGATCCCAGAAACAGGGTGCTACCCTTTCCAGGGACAGGGTCAGGGATCTGTGAGGGGAAGGGAGGTCATAGCAGAGGCTGGGAGACTGAGTGGAAAGGGTTTGATGGTCTCAGTGGGAAAGAGTTGCGATTTGGGTTATGTGCTATCTCAAAAGTGGAGGCAGGCAGAAAGGACCCTTTCTCAGGATGGGAATTTCAGAAGGAAAGTTTTTGAGGTATGAGGAGAAGTGAGGAGGGAAGTGTCTGGGGTACAAGTCAGTGTTCAGAAGGATCTTGGTCCTTGGAGAGGCAGGCAGAATGGGTCTCAGCCGAGAGACAGAGAGAGATCTAGTGGGTAAGTTCTGAGAGACAAAGAGTCTACAAGTGAAAGGGTTGAGAGTTAAGGAAGGGAACAGTCAGAGGTCATAGATAGGTTCATATTCCCAAAATAAAGGTCCCAGGGTTGATCTCTTGTAATTGTGGGGTAATTTCTTTTCGTCTTTTTGTGACAGGGTCTTGTTATGCAGTTCAGGCTGGCCTTGGGCTCACTTTGTAGCCCAGGCTGGTCTCAAACTTGCAACAATCCTCAATTCTTCTTTAGCCTCCCAGATGCTGGTATTACAGGTGTGAGTCACTACACCTGGGTATAATTTTTGAGAGGTGCTTTTTTTTTTTTTTGGTACCAGGGATCAAACTCATGACCTCACTCTTGCTAGGCATGCACTTGTGCTGTTGGGTTGTATCCCCAGCCCCAAGAGAGGCTCAGTTATAGAGGAGGGAGGGGAATGGGGAAAGGTGTGAGGATCACTGAAGGGTAGGTAACTCCAGGCTTTGTAGGAGAGGTTTCTTCAAGGGACGAGGTCTCCCACAATCCTTGGACTCTCCCTGCTACTCACTCAAGAGCCCTGATTTCAGTCCCCTATACCAGCACCCACTCTAAATAGTTGTGCTGCTGTCCCCAGATCGCAGCTCAGATACTGGAGCTCCAGAGAGGAGGTCTCAAGTGTCAACCTTTCCCCAGTACACCACTCTCAATCCAACAGGACACCTAAGACCCGGGTCAGCCTGGAGCCTAGTGTAGAGGCAGTGGCAGATGGCCCCTCGCCTCCTCCTCCAGAACTCAGGCAACCAGACAGCAGGTTCTCCAGGGCCCTGGTTGGTGCCGAGCTCTGTCTGAGAGGCTCTAGTAGGCACTGGGGGTCCCGGGGGCCGCCAGAAGGCGAAGGTACTAAGTATACCTCAGACTGCTCAGTGCTTACTTGCTAGGCGAAGGTACTAAGTATACCTCAGACTGCTCAGTGCTTACTTGCTAGGGTCCCACTATCTCGACAACTGTTTCCTCTTAGTTGGATCCCAGCTCCCTCGGAGCAGTCACACCCCCCTCCCTCCAAGACCTCCCCCCTCCCCAGAGCTTCTGGCTCCAGGCGGAAAAAGTAATAAAACAAACTTAAACAAACCTATCCTGTCAGAACTCGCCTGGTGCTTCAGGCGGGGTGGGGCTTCCCCATCCACCCTAGAAAGGAGGGGGTGGATTGATCCGGCTTTCAAAGGCCCTCTTGGAACCACTGATGAGCCAGCTGCCTGTTGTTTCTTTAGTGTTGCCACATGGTTTCTTCAATTCTGCCTGTCCTCAGCCCCACGTACTTGCTCCACATTTCTTTTTTCCTTGCCAATTCTAGCTCCTTCTCCACTCATTCATTTCACTCATTTGGAAGTGTTGAGGGGGGTGTCGCACATTATTGTGTGTGGCTGGGAATGCAAGTTGGGCCTGTAGTGGTACAAAGCACCAGTGTCCCCACTGTCCTTGCTGGAATCACTTCAGACCCTCAGCTGACAGGGCATAGCAAGTCTAGAAGCGTCTGGAGGTTTCCTTTGCCAGGAGTCTGTGGTCTCCCACTTCTGGCCTGAAAGGACAGTTTTTGCTGGCATGTAGGCTGCCACCCTCAAAACACAGGCTGGGGCTCAGAAGCCCCCTTGGGACTGAGCTGGGAAGGTGTGAGTCAGCAACCTGGGAGGGCCAGGCTAAAAAAAAAGCCTGTTAAAACCTTTGGGTAACGCCCCTTTTCCTTAGATGGTAAGGAACTTCAGCCCGGCTGGTGTGTACACGCCCTACTCTGGCTGTTCCTGATCCTGGGAGAGACGCGCAGTTTCCCCCACCCTGGGAACCCAGATCCACGGGCAGGGAGGCTATGGCCAGCGGGACTCCAACCTGGGTAGCCCTGCTGGCCAAGGTCAGAAATGCTTGGTCACCTCTGCTGTCACCACATCCTGGACACTTGATCCCATCCCCGCCCCCCAAGGAGGGAAGCTGTAGTCAGAAGGGAACTGACAACTTTTGCCCCTATGGGAAACAGACTGGTAGGGGAGAAAGAAATTAAAGGAGTGTGAGTCTGGAGTGGCACTGTAAAGCTGGAAGCTGGGGTATGCATGCTGAAGAGATGAACACTGGAAAGTTTAGCTGTAGACATTGTGAGAGCATGTTCAGGTGTCCAGCTCCCCTTGACTCAGAGGTCGGTGGAGGTGTGGCTCGACAGATGTCAGGAAGGGGTAATAGAGCCCCATTCTCATAAACACAGTCACACCCAGGCAACTAAAACTAGGAACCCAGCGTCCATTTAGTCTTACCCCTGAAAGTGTCTTACTGCAGTATTTTTATCTAGTTACATATCTACTCAACAGCCCTGATGTGTCCATTTCACAAGAGGAAGAAACCGAGGCCCAGAGTGTGCAAATAGCTTCAGGTAGCAAGCTAGATTTAATTAAATCTTGAAAGCAAGATTTAATTAAAGCCTGATTTTTCTTCTTTGAGACTGTGTCACTATGCAGTTCAGGCTGGCCTTGAACTCACAGTGATCCTCCTGCTCCAGCCTCCCATGTTCTGGGATTACTGATAAGTTTTTAATTGAACCTCAGTTGTATACCTTGGATTGGAATAAGTACTATAGTGATGCTTGGGGAATGAGATACATATTTCTGTCCTTGTGCAGCTGATGTAGTGAGGATAGGTAGATGTCCTACATGAAAGACAAAATGAATAAGTAAAACATTTCAGAGAAAATGAGTTTATGAAGATAGCAAAAGGAGGTTATGTTGGGCAAGAAGGTGGTGGGTTGCTGGTCTCTTTGATATAGGGCTGCAGCTTGAATGACCTGAAGCCAGATGAATGATAACTAGGGAAAGGTACAGCAGTGATAACAGCAAGTATAAAGGCCCTGAGGTGGCCAAGTTAGTCCAGAAATGCAGGCATTCCTTACAGCATTGAAGAGCAAAGCGGGGTTCATTCTTTCCATTGTTTAGTCACTCTTTCACAATCTGGACTGAATATGTGAATCTGTTCCTTAGTTTTGAGGAACCCTGTGTTTGGGTGGGGGGAAGCAGACAGGCCTTGGGATTGAACCCTCCTGGACTTGCAACTATGATTCTCTCCCTCATGCGATGAAAATGAAATCAGAGTTTAGTCTGGAGAATGTATTCATCTGCAAATGTCAACAATTTTGTCATCCAGCCTTATATACCAAGAACCATTCCCATATCTTGCTGAACTACCAGCAATAAACTTGTATTCCCTCCCCTGTTTCTCAGCCATGGGTGGACTGCTTGCCAGAACCAGCAAACTGAGGCCCAGCATTTACAGCCAGGACTTACCTGGAATTGCAAAAGGCAGGATCAAACCCTGGGCTGCCTGGCTGCTAACGGTATTTACCGATCAGCTGGATGCTCACCAGGTCCTGTTCTCGTTCAGCCTTTGCACCATCGTGGTCTCATTTTTGTCACTAAGAGGTTTATTCACATTCTACTACCCCCCCAACCTAACTCCTAGTGTGGGATATTGAACCCAGGGCCTTGTACATGCTAAGCAAGCACTCTATCACCTAGACATCCTCACTAAAATGCCCAGGATGGCCTCACACTTGTAACTGTCCTGCCTCTAAGTCTCCCCACACCCACTATCTTCTATCCACAACTCCAAAATCCAAAGTGCTCTGGAAACCATCCCCTTTCTCTTAAGTCTGATACCGATCTGACCTAACGGGAACAATTTAAATACTTAATCCATCTCACTGTGAATGTTCACACTTTTCCTTGACGAAATAATTTTAACACCCCAGACATCAATGAGAATGTTAAGTAATATACCATAAATGCACCAGGAAGACTTTCTAAACTATTCCAAATCTTGGAAACATGCCTGGTCCCTAAGCTTTTCGGGTTTAAAAATGGTCTCAGCCCTTTTCCAGCTAAGGAAACTGAGTCACACTCCCAAAGCCAGACTCCCGCGGTTCTAATTTGGGGCGGCAGTACTTTGGAGTTTGAAAACAGTGATCTGTCTTTCTAGCCCCATTTCTGGGGCCTGGAGCTGCCCAGCACTTTGCAGAAGAGGTCCCCCCAGGGGCTGTGCAACAGGCTCCTACTGTCCTAGGCAGGCGGGGCGAGGGGGCTTCCGGGGCGGCAGCCACCTGGCCCGGCCCCCTCCGGCCCCGCCCGCTTCTGGTCGGTGTGGTGATTCACTCCCTCCTTTGCCTCAGGGGCCCCCTTCTCGGCCAGACAGCGGGCTAGACGGCTGGGTGTGCAGCGTGCTCGAACCCGCGAGTTTGCAAGCAGAGCCTTTGCGAGTCCTGGAACCCCGGCTCACGCCATGGCGGATTCTGAGCGCTTGTCAGCTCCTGGCTGTTGGGCCGCCTGCACCAGCTACTGGCGCACCCGAAAGGGAATACTCCTGTTTGCTGAGATTGTGAGCGCTGCGGGGCCAGCGGGTGGGCAGCGGCGGTCGGGCGGTAGGGACGCACGTTACGGGACTGTCAGCTGGGAGGCAGGCACGTGGGCCGAGGGCCGGGCTGCGGAGCTCTGGTGCGTGGGATTTCGGTGGAGGTGGAAACTGCGAGCTCAGGGGCAGATGGTGGGGTTTGGGGACAAGGTTGAGAGCTGAGGCGGGGCCTCGTAACTCCAGTGGGGCGCTTGGTGGGGAAGCCCGTAGGACTCCTCAGCGGGCGCGGGGTGGGAGTCCTGGGGGCTGGAAAGTGGGGGGCCTCCCGTGGCAGGGCGTGGCGCGTCCTGGGCACTGTCGGGCGGGCTGGCAGTGCGCCCAGAGGCGGCGCCTGTTGGGGTGGGGCTCGGTGCTCTAGTCTGGCAGGATAGGGCGCCCCACCTTTCGTCAGTTCTTCCTTGCCCTTTTGGCACCATGCTGAAGGTCCTTAACTCTTCCGGCGGCTGGGGAACCTCGGTTCTCCGCGTCCCTAAAAAGTGGGCGCCAATTCTGCTTTCCACATCGAGGTTGAAAAAAAAAAAGTGGGCGCCACCTTTGAGTTCCTTGTAAAGGGGATGCGGTGCCTTTAACTGAATCCTGCACCTCCAGTGTGACTGTCATTGCTTCCCCAAAGGGGTTGCTTGAGGGAACCACACATCCCGCCTGCTCAAGGCTTCAAAATTGGGCCATTGGCGCTCACCAAACACCTAGCAGAGTCTGGCCACTCCAATCTGACAAGGGAAAAGGAAAACAGGCCCCCAGCTCTGCTCCTTATTTGCTGGGTGACCCTGGGCCAGTAACTTTTCTTTTTTTCTTTCTTGCTTCCTTTTTTTTTTTTTTTTTTGAGACAAGGTCTCCCTTTGTAGTCAAGCTGGTCTTCAACTCACTTTGTAGCCCAGGCAAGATTCAAATTTACAGGAGTCCTTCTCCTCAGCCTCCAGAGCGCTGAGTTTACAGGCCTTCATCACCACGCCCGGCTATTCAACCTTTCTTTTTTCGGGGTGGAGGATTGAGACGGGCTCTCACAATGTGGTGCAGACTGAGTTTAAACTTGCTTATGTACCCCAGGCTGACCTTAAATTGTGGTGGTATTCCTGCCTCAACCTTCCAAGTGCTGGGATTACAGAGATGTGCCACCACGCCCAGTTTACGTTTAGCCTCTCTTAATTTTTTTTACCTGTGAAATACAGATACTAGCTCATTACTTTATTGTGATGACTAAGTGAATCAGTACTTGTAAAATTATTACAACAATGCTTAGAGCCCAGTAGCACACAAAAGTACTGTGTTTAGCAATTATTGTATGTCATTTCTCCAGCCCTGATACTCATTTTTCTCCTGATGGTGGACATCAAATCCAGGCTCTTGCACATGTAGGCAAGTACTCTACCACTGTGCTACACCCCCAGTGATGAGAAGTGGTTTTTATTTTTTTTTTCTGGTAGCCATATGGGTTTCAAAATCCCTTCCCTTAATTTAAACCAACCCCAGGGGCCTGAGATACAGCTCATCTGCACAAGCACCTGCCTGGCAAGCACAAGGCCCTGAGTTTGATTGCCAGTACCGAAAAATATAAAATTTTTTTAAAAAACCTAATCCCCTCAAGCTAAGGATGTGGCTTGGTGGTAGAGCTCTTGCCTTGCATGCCTAAGGCCTGGTTTCTATCCCCAGAACCCCCCCCCCCAATTAAATAAATAATATAAAGCAGTCCCCTCAGTCCTGGGAGCTGATGGAAGTTCCCTTCCCATTGTCACCCTTTCAGCTACTGTGCCTGGTGATTCTGATTTGCTTTAGCGCCTCAACAGCAGCGTACTCCTCCCTGTCAGTGATTGAGATGATCCTTGCTGCTGTCTTCTTTGTCATCTACATGTGTGACCTGCATAACAAGATGCCATTCATCAACTGGCCCTGGAGTGTGAGAAGGGAACCGGCAATGGGCAGGGGCCTGGGCAGTGGGGATTGTTTGGAGAGCTCTGGAACCTCACTCACTCTTTTCTCCATGCCTCACAGGATTTCTTCCGAACCCTCATAGCAGCGATCCTCTACCTGATCACCTCCATTTTTGTCCTCATTGAGGGAGGAAACAACACCAAAATTATTGCAGGGGTAAACGTTGTGGTGACAGCTCCAAACTACAGGGGAGAAGGGTTGGAGGACCCAGGGGCATTTCTGTTTCTCCTTCTGGCAGAAAGTGGCCACACTTACTCTGAGGGCCTCTTGGGAGTTCTGGCTTTCGCCATCGTTTATCTCCCACGATCATTTGCTATAAGGGCTGTCTCTTGTCAGACACAGGGCCCTTTGAGAACACACTAGAATGGTATCTGCTATATTTGTCACAAAAAAATTGTCACAACTGTAGTGTGGTATGTCCTCTCCATGTGGGGCCACTGTGTGACTGTCCTGTATTGAGAGGTACTGGGGGATAAGGTGGGGCAGAATCCAGCCTCATGGCCTCTCCTTGTGGCTTTCTGGCTTTGCAGGCTGGGGCTGGAGTCACTGTGCCACATAGGCCAGTCATTAGAATTGGTAGCTACATAGGTCAGAGGCAGAGTAGATCAACCACCTAATCTACTCCCTCCCCACACTCCCATCTGCACCCCCCCCAGGTACTGGGCCTATTTGCTGCACTGCTCTTTGGCTATGATGCCTACTTCACCTTCCCTCTTCGACAGCAAAGACATACAGCAGCCCCCACTGGTAAGTGTGTATGTGTGTTGTCGAGACAGCAGAGTACAAAAGGACAGGGATATCCCAAGGAAAGATATGAATTCCAACTCTGTCCCTTAAGGTACTTAAGGATTTTGTACCAATAAATACCATAAGCCTCAGCATTCCTGTCTGTAAAATGGGCATATAGATTCAGTCAATGCTTTCTTTCTTTTTCTCCTGCAGATCCTACAGATGGCCCAGTGTAGGTGAACTCTCATTTTTCTCTGCAACCTGCAAATAACTCCTCCATTGAGAAAACTCCTCCCCATTCCCACAACACTCCTAGTCCCTTATTGAGGTAAAAGTGCCTTTATTGGGAGAATTTGGTCTTCCAGCTTGCCAAGCAGCCCTCCCAGTTGTGGTTGCCTTTAAGCTTGTGGTTAGGTCTCCCTTTCTTCAGCATCTGACAGGAGACATCGGTCTTTTGTGGACCCACACTCCTGCCTAAGCCACAAAGAGAGGACTGCCTCTAATTTCAGAGCACGCGCTCTATAGGGTGATCCATGGGAAATGACCTTCTCAGTGTGGAAGGTGGTTCTCTGGAGTGGAAAATAAATAATAAACAGTTGCTAAAATCTATATAATGAATAAATTAATCCTTTGACCAAATATAGATAGATCTCAAGCATCAGGAGGAAGTGTTTGGGGGGGCCAGCTGGGGCCAGGAGGCAAAGAAGCCAGGCCTGTTTTAAACATTACTTCAGCGATACAAACAGGAAAATGGGAGGAAGGAAAGGGCTTTATGACTTAGTTTGTGGTGGTATTGTGTGGAAAATGGAGCCCTGTGTGGGGCTGTCAGCTTTCAAGCCACTATGCAATTCTTATCTCGGGCCTGTCGAGGCATCCGTAGCTGAGAGTCCCCAGGGAGCTGCAGGGCTGTGGAGTTGGTCTCGGTTGCAGCATCCTGAGCAGCTGCGGGCTTGCACAGGTGTGGGGGCATTGGGATCCGTTCTCCTAGGAAGAAGCCATCATCCTCGGAGGACTCAGAGCTGGAACTGGAGAGTGAACTGGAGCAAGAGCCTGAGTCTGACTCTGATGCCAAGTCACATCGATGGCGGCCCCGTCTGCTGGAGTGGCTGTGATGATGGTGGTGGTGGTGGTGATGATGTCTGTGATGCCGCCTGCGCCGGCTGGGGGCTCTGGGTGGGGGACTTCGTGGCCTGCGGCGCCAGGCAGGGGGTGCACTCAGGGTCCGCCGTGGACCTCCCTCGGACACCAGTGGGTCTCTGAAGCTGACTCGTGGGGTGCTGTGGCGACCAAAGACATTATCTTCCTGGCACAGGTCCGGTTGTCCAGGAGACTCCAGGGTTGGCTCTGGAGCACTTCGGAGCCCAAGTTCTGGCATGGAGTGGCGGTGGGGGGCCCCTCTCAGAAATCGGGAGGGCTCCTCCGGGCCTATAGCTGGGAGAGAAGAGACCAATTGACTCCCTGTATCTGTTCCCCTGGTTTCCCTTTCATGAGACCTGAAGAAAGGCCTGCTTTCCCCCACTAGGACGAGGATCCTGGTAGCAGGTGTCAGAAATGGGCAAGGAGATGCAGAGGTTTTATTCTTTCTCTTGTCTTTTTTTGTGAGACAGGATCTTGCTGTGTAGTCCAGGCTAACCTTGAACTCACTATGTAGCCCAGGTTGTCCTCAAACTTGCAGGGATCCTCCTGCTTTAGCCTCCCAGAGTGCTGGAATTACAGGCATAAACCCCCAAACTCGCCAGGCTGGAGCTGGGAGTTTTTGAGGTCTGGTGCAGAATACTGATTAGGGAGAGGATAAGAAGGTAAAAGTACTGGGGCAGGGTTGGTACGTGGGGCGTGGCTTGGGAATGGGAAAATGGTTTAGGTGGAAGGGGCGTGGGGAGTGCTGGAGCAGATTTGGTTTGCAACAAAACAGGCCAGGCCTGGGTGCAGAGGGTGGAGGATGACTTTTGAATGGAAGCAGAAAGGGCTCTGGCAGGGGTTAGTTGAGATAAGGGTAGGGCCCTGTGTGGAAGGGAGCCAGAGGACCAGGATTTCCAGGGTGGATGTAGTTTAGGCTGGAGAATAGGCCTGGAATGCAGTGGGGAAGGAGATGGGGCCAGCTGCAATGAGTGAGGGGTCTGTGCGCAGGAGGGCAGGCTGCTGGCTGGGCATGAGTCTCACCTGACGTTGCCTCTGTGCTGGTGCCTTTGGTGGCTGTCTCGGACCTCCCCTCCACAGCAGTGAAAGAGGCTGTGGAGGCTGCGAGTGGGGCCGTGACAGTGCCTGAGCTCCAGCTTCGTCGGCCTGGCCTTGGGGCGGTGGGCTCAGACCCAAGGCTGCAAGCTCGAGAGCAGAAGATTAGGCCGCGGAGGGGCAGGAAGGGCCGGCCGAGCAGGGCTCGACCACAGCGACTGCAGCAGAAGCAGTGATCTGAGGCGTGCCAGTGCTGGCCCTCGTAAGCCATCTGGCCCTGGTCCAGACCTGCGGGGACCAACGTGGGGGTAAACTGAGACAAAACCACCAGGCAGACTCTGCACTCCTCCTAAATGGGGCCTTTCTTATGCAGAAGTGAGGAAAGTGAGGCAGGGCACCCAAATTTGCTTCTCCCTTCTGAAATGCGGCTCTTCTCTGGAGAAAGCAGGAAACTTAAGGTTTGGTCTTTACCCTATGATTCCCCATCCCTTCTTCTGGAGTTTGGCTGGTAAATGTTTCCCTCTCCCTCCTCCCTTTCTTTCCCAGGATGTCCCCTCCAGGAGTGGAGGTAAGCATTGGACTGTAAGATGTAGGCCAGGCTTAGCCATTAAGGGGTGGCAGCTTCAGGTAGGTGAATGAAAGGCTGCACTTGAAGGGAGGCTTAGATGGTAGGGGCAGAGTTTAGGTATGGGTTGTACCTAACCTAAGCTGATAGAGAATAGCACATAGGTCAAGGCAGTAGAGGCAAGGCTTATAGCATGCTTGGCTGAAGGGTAAAGGTGTGTAGTGGTAGCCTAATATGTGACTGGGATTTACAAAGAACATCACAGCTGGGAGTGCGACTTGCATTGACGGGCACATGGGCCTCTGGTGCAGGGACTGCACTTCGAAGGCAGAGTGTAGTGGAGGCCAGGTGGGCTCCTGTGGGGTGTGGTTGTAGCTCAGCTAGCCATGCATACCTCCATCTAGTCCCACAGTGTTCACCCACCAATGTGCTCCCCACAGCCATCACAGTACTCGGCATGGCGGGCCTCGTAGCAGGCGCAGCAGTGGGGGCGGCTCTGACGCATGACATATCGCTGCCCTCCTAGTGAAGCTTCGCACTCGAAGCAGCAGAAGTGACCCATGTGCCAGTGCCGGCCCTCAGCCTCTGTGCACTCAGGGGAGAAGATGATCTGGAGGGTGCAGACCACCGATGGCTGTCAGAAGGGCCAAATCCTGGCCATGCCTACCCTCCACTCCCACCCCTGGGCAGGAAGGCACAAACCTCATCGCAGGCCTGGCAGCGTGGGCGCAGGCGCTCAGCATGGTGCCGCCCACAGTACACCTTGCCAGCATGGTAGAAGTAGATGAGGTCAACAAGCAGTTCCCGGCAGGTGGTACACACAAAGCACTGTGGGTGCCAACAGGTGCCCAGGCCTGCACGGCTTGCAAACACTGCGATGTCCCCACCTCCGATCTGCTTTCCACACTGCCAAATGACAGAGAGACACTGTCACCATCACCAACATGATCAGATTGACTGATGGATCAGCCAGGTATTTCACATGCGAGTCTTCCCCATGGTGAACTTTTGGGATTGCCCCCATCTACCGGGTAACTTTGAGACAGCTCCCACCTAAGGGGGGGGGGTGATTGTACACAGACTGTACTCATGGGGGAAACCACAGACAAGTCCAACCCATCGTGGATGGCTTAAAAGTAAGCCATCTCCATAGGGGACTAAGGCAGACATTGAAGCAGGCTGGCCCTGCTGGGGAGCAATAGACACAGCACCATCCAGCAGGACCTCAGCCACAGACCTTCCAAACAGTGTGTTCTAAGAACAGAACCTACCCATTAGGGAGGGACTTGGGGATAAATTCCACCAACTGCTCAACTCGAAAGACAGGCCGCTGCTGAAAATTACTTTTGTTTTCTGATGTGCAGACGGAACCCAGGGCCTTGTACATGCTAAGAAGGCGATTTACCACTAAGCCCACCTCCAGTTGGTGGGTCAGTTCTTAAGGACAAGTCCTGACCACAAAATGACCAAAGAGCCCATGCCAGGAGTCCACTGTATGAAGGGGAGGAAACCACACAAGATATTCCAGTCCTCTTTGAGACAAACTACGTTAAGATCCAGGAACAGGTCTTGTCCACTAGGGGGCGCTAAATACACATCCAGTCCACCAGAGGGAGTCTGGGATTTGAGTGCCAGGCCTGGGCTCCCCAGGCTTCTAGGCCTTCACTCACAGAGGCCCTCCACACTCACTTCCTCACAGATGGCCCCAGTGATGGTCACTGGGAAGATGCGTACGGTGCCACGCCCCAGATTCTCCCGCTTCCGCTGCTGGCTGAAGGCTCTGAGCTCTTTCTTCTCCTCCTCTTCCAATGCTGTGCAGTACTGGGCCTAGGGGGAGTAAAGGGTCTTCCAGACTTCATCCACTCCCAAGGTTTACTTCTAGCCTCTGTAGAGGTGTGGTCTCCTGCATGAAATACCTGCCCCTCACCTTTTGCTAATGCACAGCTGTGGTTTTGTCAAGGGATGTCACCTGCTGGTCTCCTGGCTGTCCAGATCTCTCACCTTGGTTCAGCTTACTTTTGTTCCTCTGACCTGCTAATATCTCTAGCTGCCTTGCATTTGTGATTGTACCTGGAATGCCTTCCAGTCCTCCTTTTGTGGTACTGAGTATTGAACCCAGGGCCTTCCCACTGAGATGTATCCCTAACTCTTTTATGATTTTAAGACAGGGTCTTGCTTTAAGACAGGGTCTTTTATGGTCTTTTATGATTTTAAGACAGGCTGGCTTCACACTTTTGATGCCCCTGGCATAGCTTGCTAGAGTGCTAGGATTCCAGGCATGAACCACTAACCTAGCTTCTATTTACTTTACAGCAAAAAATATTTTTTGGTGAAAAGTAAATAAAGGTCCACTGTGTAGTTTAGTTGCTTTTGGGGGGGGGGTGTACCGGGGATAGAACTCATGACCTCACGCTTGCCAGACCGGTGCTTATACCACTGAGCTAAATCCCCAACCCTCACTGTGTAGTTTAGGCTGGCCTTGAACTCACTGTGTAGCCCAGGCTGCCCTTGAACTCAATGTGCTCCTCCTACCTCAGCTTCCAAATTGCTGGGATTACCTGAGTGATCTACCATTTGTGGCAGTCTGGTTTTTTGGCAGGGTGGGGGGGGTATTTTTCTAAATTGCCAAGGTGAGATTTGAACTTGTGATCCTCTGGTCTCAGTCTCCTTCTGGCCCTTGTTTTCTCTCCTCACCTCACTGTCATGTGGAGGCAGCTGGTGCAGCAGTTGCTTGATCCTATATTTCTCTCCAGGACTGTTGACATAAGGGACCTTGTCCTCTGGAAGGCAGCTGAAAAACTGGTATACCTGGGAGGACATGATGGGTGGGAGAAAACAACTGAGATTAGGGGTGAGCAGGGATGCAGTGACATAGCTTCTCTGAGAGAATTAAAAGTCCTCAGAAGGAAACTTTTGACTCCTTTTCCTTCATTCTTAAAGCTCCCAAACATGTTGAGCCTTCCCTCCATGTGTGAGTCCCTTCTTTTTGTCCTTTTTTCCCCCTTGGTACTGAGGGTTGTACCCAGGGTCTTCACACTGAGCTACATCCCCAGCCCTTTTTAAATTTCTTATTTTGAAAAAGTCTTACTAAGTTGCTAAATTCCCCAGGCTGTGCTTAAACTTGCAGTGCGTCTGCTTCAGCCTCCCTGAGTGCTGGAATTACAGCTATGTGTCACCATGCCTGGTTTATCTCCAGCCCTTTTTATTTTTTGAGACAGAGTCTCACTAAACTTCCCAGGCTGGCCTTTAACGCACTCATGACCCTCCTACCTGGGCCTCTTGAGTAGCTGGGATTACAGGCTTGTGCGGCTGTGCCTGGCCTGGCTTTCCTTATGTCTTGCCCCCCCAGCCCTGCTCCACTTTTCTCCTTTCCTTTACTGCCAAACTCCAAAGAGCTGTAAGCACTCAAGTGTGCTGCACTCTTCATCCTCTTCTTTTCTCCCTACCCCGCTCCAGCCACGCTCCTCCCACCCCAAAACTGTTAAGGCCCCTGGGGTCATTAATATTGTAAAAATCATTGTTAGGTCTCATTCTTCATTGAACTTGATCACTGTAGCTCTGGGCCAGCAGAGCACTCTCTCTTCCTGGGAAGTTTCTTCCCCTGGTCCCCAGGATGCCTCCAGGTCTGGTTTCCGTATCTTGTTTGCTATCCCTTCTCTGTCCTGAATGTGGGAAGGCTTGGTGGTGCATACCTGTAATCCCAGCACTCAGAGTGGCTGGGGCAGGAGCACTGAAAGTTCAAGAGCCCAGTTCTTGGTCCTCTCCCATGTCCAGCTTCACCTTAGGAATTGCATCTAGCCTCATGGCTGTTTATAGCTATCAGGTAAGGAGTTAAAAATGCATACCTCCAGCACTGGGACTTTCCCTTTGAGAGGTTACTTAGATATCTAAGGGACACCTCAAACTCCAGTGGCCAGAACCAGGCTTAATACTCTTACTATCTTAACTTGCTCTTGCCATGGCCTTTGTTGTACTAGTGAACCCACCCAACTCTATCAGGGTCATCTTTCAGTCCTCTCTTTCTCTTACCTTCACAAGCCAATCTGGGCTCTGCTTTCAAATTATATCCAGAATTGGGGCTGGGGGTGTGGCTCCGTGGCTCAGAGCACTTGCTTAGCACAATCCATCCTCAGCATCACAATCTCTGCACTCTGCAATGGGACTCACTAGTTCCACAGCACTATCACCAGTCACCTGGACCACTGCCATAGCCTCCTTTTCACTGTTCTTGCTCATTCCTACTGTCTGATACAGCAGCCAGAGATCCTTTTCTTAAATCACAGGACAAATCCCTTCCCCACTCTGCTCACAGCCTTCATGTAACTTCCCCTTTATTATATGTCAAAAGTCCTCTCCATGGCCCCGCCACCTCTCAGACGTCATGCCCAACTGCTCCCCCTGTCACACTGCTGTAGTTGTACTGACCTCCTCACTTTTCTTCGCATATCTGTGACAAACACACCTCTCCCTCTGGGCCTTGGCATTGCTACTCACCTGCCTGGATCATTCTGACCTTAGATAACTGCCAGGCCCACTTCTTCAGGTCTTTCAGAGCAGTTCAGACAGGGCATCCCCATAGAAGCTTACCTGAGCACTCTGTGTACAATTCCAGCCTTGGTCTCTGTCTTTCTCCCTTCCTCCTTTCCCTGACATTTTTTTGAGACAGGGTCTTGCTAGTAGTTCTGGCTGGTCTTTGGCCTTGAACTCACAGTGATCCCTCTGCCTTTAGCCTCCCAAGTGCTGGGATTGCAGGTGTGCACCACCACCAAGCCTCTCTTCTTCCTTGCTTTAAAATTTTATTTATTTATTGTCTGTTTTGAGACAGGGGTCTCGCTATGTGGTTCAGGCTGGCCTTAGGCTCACTTTGTAGCCCAGAATGCTCTCAAACTTGCCACAATCCGCCTGCCTCAGCCTCCTAAGTGCTGGGATTACAGGAGTGTGCCACCACTCCAGGCTTTATTTATTTATTTTTTGAGGCAGTCTCACTATGCAGTTCAAGTTGGCCTGGAACTCAAGTGAGCCATCTTCCTCAGCCTCCTGAATGCCGAGATTACAGGTGTGTGCCACCACACTTAGCTTTTCCCTGCTTTTTTGTACCATAGCCTTTATACATCTGACATTGAGTTGGCCTTCTTTATTGTGAGTTCCATACTGCAGTTTCAACCAACTTTGAATAAAAAATATAAAATACTGCATTTGAAGTGAAGTTGTACAGATTTTTGTCAATATTCAATAAATAATGTAACTTTTTTTGGTACAGGGGATTGAACTCAGGACCTCACACTTGGCAGGCAGGCACTTATGCTGCTAGCCCTAACAATGTAACTATTTACATGAAAGTTTTACTGTGTTAGGTATTTTAAGTAATCTAGAGATGATTTAAAGGATATAGAATAGAGATGTAGTAACACACATATTATTCCAGTACTTATAAGGCTGAGGCAAGAGGATTGCATGTTTGAGTCAGCCTGGGCTACATAGAGAGTGTAAGGCCTAGCCTGAGCTATATAGTGAGACTTTGCCTCAAAAAACAAAAATAATGAAATAAAACAAAAAAGAGAAAAAAATACATAGGGGATTGAGTGTATGAGTTATATGCAAATATTGTACCATTTTATATAAGGGACTTGAGCATACACTGATTTGGCTGTTTTTTGTTTGTTTGTTTGTTTTTTGGTACTGGGATTGAACTCACGGACCTTGAGTTTGCCAAGCAGGTACTTATGCCGTTGAGCTAAACCCCCAGCACCAGGACTGGTTTTTGTTTGTTTGTTTGTTTGTATGTTTGTTTTTTGAGACAGGATCTCACTATGTAGTCCAGACTAGCCTTGAACTCACAGCAATCCTCCTGCCTCAAAATCCCAAGTGCTGGGGTTATAGGTATGCACCACCACCAGGTTTGTTTTTTTTGAGACAGGGTCTCACTACATAGTTAAGGCTGTTCAAGCCCATGCTGGCCTTGAACTCATGGCAATCTTCCTTGCCTCAGCTTTCAGAGTGGTGGGACTACAGGTGTTTGCCATCATGGCCGGCTGGATTTGGTTATCTGTAGAGGGTCCTGGGAACAATTCCCCAAGGATATCAAAAGATAAATATATGCATAGTCACAGGTTTGTTTATTGTCTGTTACTCTTTCAGGAATCAACCTCTTGCCAGGCATGGTGGCACATGCCTTAATCCCAGCACTCAGGAGGCTGAGGCAGCAGGATTGATAGGAGTCTGAGGCCATCCTGGGTGCTATAGTGAGTTCAAGGCCACCCTGAACTACATAGCAAGATCTCTTGAGAAAAAAAAAGGAATCAACCTCCCTGTGGGAATATGGCTTACTTTCTTTTATTTACCGCAGTGTCCTCAGTGCCTAAAACAGTGTTTGGCATGCAGAAAATGTTCAGTAACTATTTGCTGAATGAATAAATCAGTGGTCTTGTAGGATAGGACTGGGGTGGGTGAACAGGTCTAGTGATCACTCAGAGTTCTTTGTGAGGTGTGGTGGGGTGACTATCCCTCTACTAAGAGGGGTTAGGACACTGGAAATGTTTTGTATGTGTGTGTGTGTGTCTGCGTGTGTGCCCACTGGAGAATGATAGTGGGTGGCTGGCCTTTGGTCACCTGCTCGGGTTTAAGGCCAGGGGGCACCCAGGCATATTCTTCTGAAGCACAACCCGAGTCATCGTCAGAGATGGAGTGGCGCTGGAAGTCCGAGATTAGGCGACACATGATGCGTTCCAAATCCACAGGCACTGTGTGCACTGCATGTTCCTCCCTCGGGCATTTGCAGTGTTGGCAGATCTTTCTTTGGGGCAAGACAGTAGGTCAATTACTAAGGAATTGCTTATCTGGACCCACCCTGCTTCCTCAGCAGACCAAATCCGGTTGAAAGGCAGGACATGCAAATTACAGGGCTCTGCGCCTGGGCCTAGGGTCTCTGGGCAGGCCATGGAGATTAGAGCCCTGGCAGTGAGGGGCTCAGCTTCTAGCTGACAGCAGAGCTGTAAAATCCGCTGAGGGAACTGGGGGATGTGGCCTAGGAGCCTGGGCTGGAGACTATGAAGGGGCGGGGCTGTGGGGTCTCAAGGACAACCCCTAACCTTCCAGCTTTGAGCTTGGGTCACACTCTGGGCATTGGGCCTGAGAGGTGAGACTTGGGGACTGAGCATGGAGTTGAGAAGCTCCCCCTCAAGGAAAGGTTGCTAGCTTTTCAGGGAAACTGATGAAGCTCTGAATTTGCTTGTGTGTTGGGGGGTGGTGATCCTGTGGGACTGTTGGGTCTCTCTGAGGCCTTTTATGAGCTTCTGGGTGCAGGGATCCAGTGGTTATAGGACACTGGGCCTGAGACAAGAGTTCTGAGCCTAAGAAGGAGGCTGAGGGGAGGAGCACATAGATGTTGTGAGGGCCAGGGAAGGAGGATCTCCCTAAGGATGGGACTCCAGCCTGGGGAGGACTTTTTGGGGCTCTCCTGCAAATGTAACTCTAGGCAACTTGTCAGGGGCGGGGTTCCTCAGCTGAGTTTGAGCCTCCTTTTCCCCTACCGAGGTCTGTCCTGGGAGCTCCAGCTCTGGCCTAGGGGCGTAGCCTGAGCTCAGGCGTTTCCTCGAGGGCGGGGCTCTGACAAAGGGGACGGGTTGGGTGTGTCTTACCTCCACCCGTGCAAGAGGAAGCCCGGGCACTGCTCTTTGCAGGAGTTGCAAGGTTGGCCCCGGTCTGGGTCGTCCCCTTCTGGAGGCTGTCATGGGTGAGGACGGATGCAGGGCCAGGCAAGTCGCAGGGGAAGGGAGAAGTCAGCGTTCGCTCCTCCAACTGCCAAGCCCACGACCTGCCAAGCCCACGACCGCACGCTGGGGCCTGTCCCACCAAGGCAACGCCTGGCACGCTGGAACACGCCTGGAGTGCGGGGGGAGGGGCACAAACGAGCCGGCGACGGGGCATCTGAGGCTACCTACCCCCGTTTTGTACGCCCCTCCCCATTGCTCTGCCTGGGCTGCTGCCCACCTCAGCCTCAAACATCTCTTGCCAGCCTTCAATTCTTCCGTGCTCAAACACCTCCAGAATCAGAGTATTCCACCAGAGATGAGTCCCTAATCTAGGCATCCCCTCTCAGGCCTCATCTCCACTCAGGAAGTCAGCGTACTCTGTTGCCCTGGGTAGGAGTCTGGGACCCCATCCTTCCTTGGGATCACCACAAGAACCCCACTCTTCCCTACAGAAGGCTAAGAATCCCTCCCCCAAACCCTAGTATCATTCTCTCTTACCTAAAGAACCGATCCTCCCCAAGGATCTTGGAAGGCTGCTGCTCCATTCAAAAACCTCCACACCAAGCAAGACCTTGGCATTTACCCTTCATATCCTAGGACTTCAATTTTCTGGACTACCAAAACCCAGGCCCCACATTTGCAGGTCAAAGGCTCCCTTCAAAGAAAAAGACTCTCTTCTAGGGAGTCAAAAGCTCTCAGACTGGGACCTGGGATTTAGCTCAGCGGCATAAGCACCTGCCTGCGTGAGGTCGTGAGTTCAATCCCTGGTGGTGGTGGTGGGGAAGCTCTCAGGCTCTCAAGACTCAGATGGAAACCTGGAACTCCTTTGACCATAGGCATTTGGGTACCCTAGGAGTGTAGGACTCCACCATTCACATTATATTTCAAGACATGGGGGTTCCTTACCTGAGAAACTCAGGAGGTCTCTGCTCATTTCAACACCCAGAGACTAGTCTTTTGGCCCTCCGAATTCCCTCCCATGATTCACAGGAAAGGGGAGCCCACCAGGTCACAAGGGTGCTCATAAAGGCATGGTGGTGGCACACAGCTGTGATTCCAGCATTCAGGGAGGGTGAGCCAGAGGATCGTGGGCAAGTTCAAGAGCAGCCTGGGGTTACATAATGAGTTCAAGGCCAGACTGGGGTTATATAGTGAGTTCAAGGCCTGCCAGAACTACATAGAGACTGTCTCAAACAAACAAACAAATTGTTTCAGGAGGTGATTAGGGAGCTGGGGCCACCATATCTACACATTCCTGTAATTTTACACCTCCAGAAACTCCAGCGTCCAGGTCGAGGAAAAGCTGGGATGGGGATTCCCCGGCCTGCGACGCTCCTCCTCACTATCCCTGCGCCCCCTCGCTAGGACCTTCTCAGTTTACCCCTGATCCCCACCGCTGCCCTGAGTCGCGCTCACCACACGCCCGGAGCGGCGTCTGCGGGATCCACGCGCGAACATGGTTCGTCCAGACAGGGTCAAGCCAGGCCGGGTCAGGCGAATGGAATCCGCCAGGCCACCGCGCGTCTGGTCTGGGTGCTGTGTTCCGTAAACCTGACACCGGCGTGGGAGGAGCGCGTCCTGCTGGGCCCGCCCCTGGGCCTTTGCTCTCCGCATGCCACCTCTGCCTGAAGGTGAGCTGCCAGCAGCCTGGAGCGGCCGTTCTCTTCGCCCAGCAGGAGCTGGAGGGGTCCAGAGGCAGGACCTCCGGAGTGCAACGTGCCCCTTAGCCGCTAGGGCTTGTAGGCTGCGGTGGAGGAGGTGTGTGTGGGTGTGTTGGTGCAAGGACTTGGAGGTGGTGAACTGACTGGACGGGGTGTTTTGACGCTTTTTTGATTTACTTTTGGATGCTTATTTGGGGCAAGGGTTAGGGCCACCTCTGGTCCCTCCCGACTGGTGAGGTCCTCACAATCTTTTCCTCGGATGAATGTTGCAAGAATATCACGCAACTTCATTGGCAGTTTCAGGTGGTGTTCCATGATTCCCATCAGACTGCTAAGCCTTCCCTAGTCCCTTCTGAGCCAGGATTATTTCAGACTTCTGTGGAGGAGGTTAAAGTCTCTGGCCGGGTTCCAAGGCCCTCTTCTTCGCTTCCTCCCATCCTTACAAGTTTAGATGTTGTTCCCTCTAAGTGCCAAGACTGGAATCTTGAAGTTTGCCTTCTCTTCCCCGCACCCATTTTTCCTTCTCCTTGAGCTCGGATCCTGAGCTGCGAGTCCTGCCTTTGTGATCTCCAGCTGCAGCTGTGCCTTGGGGCTGGGAGGGGACCTGGCGGGTAGTCGGAACTCAGAACTCTGGCGCCTGGCCGGGGTCTTTAATTAGGCAAGAGGCGGCGGCGGTCAGCCTGGCCTTTCATCGGTCAGCCGGGCCTTTCATCGTGGGCGCCGGGGAGCTCCTCCAACACTATTACACACATCCCTGTCTCAACTCGCCCCTCTAGTCAGGGAGGAGTCCCGGAGAGGGGAAAGCAATGAATAAATTGACGAAGCAATCAGGCAGACGCCCCGCCTCCTGCCTCCCACCCAGCCGGTCTTGCGGTTTGCAGCCAGCATGCAGGCTAGGAAAAGGCAAGACAGCAGGTTTTGAAGATGAGGGGTAGGGCGAGGTCTCCCTATGGAATCTCCCTGTTACCGGCCACTCAGGTTCAAATGCTTAGTTTCCTTTGCTTGCCAATGATCAAACAAGCCGTGTATTTTGGTAAAAAGAAAAATTTATTCAAACTTAGCTCTTTGGACTTGGTAGGCCCATTTGCTTCAAATCACCATCTTCCCATGTACAGGTGGACAAGAGTCTTTTATAGCAAGCGTCGGAGAGGAGTACAAACAACGGAGAACTCCACACTATTACTTTCAGCCACCTTTGGCTCATTCCTCTTGCTTGTGGAAGGAACCTGGACTTCAGCCTGGTATATTCTGTCACTTATTTTAGGCTGAGGGGAGGAAATGTTGCTTATGTGCTCAGCAGGATGAAGTCTGGAGGAACTGCTTACTTCAACAATAAAAAAGTGTAACTTGTACAGTTCTAAGTTGAAAAAAAATTAAATTCTCTCTTAAAGTGCTGGTCACATCCCTAGTCAGCAGCTTGGAGGAGAGGGCTCAACAGGGACTGGGAAGGATCTTGGCTAAGGGAGCAGAGTGAGAACTAAACCCTAGAAAGACTGGTTATCTGGTGACTGGTAGCAGGTCAGTGAGCAGAGCTTTGCAGTGCATGGCTTAGAATGATGGGTAAGCAAGGCTGCACAGCATGCATGGTGGCTACCTGTGGATTAGGCACAGAACTTCCTCTCTCCCATCACTCCCTTCTGACCTCAAGAAAGATACACCAAGAAATTAGAGGCTGTGTGTGGTGGTGCACACCTGTGATCCCCACACTTAGGAGGCTGAGGCAGGAGGATTCCCAGCCTGGGCTACATAAATAGACCCTGTCTTAAGAGTAACCAAAAGAAATTTAAAAAATAAAGAAATTAGAGCCAGGTAGACTAGGTGGTTGAGTTTATTTGGGGAGAATTACTCATGTTTGTTCTTCCTTGGGAGGGGGTCTTCAAACAATACCGAAGGGTACAGGAAGGGGGGTCTGGAGGGGAGGAGAAGGGGGCCACAGCCAGACAAAATGGCAACACACGATCACAGGCACTACCAGACATCACAGACACAGCAGAGGGTGCAGGATAGGGGCTCCAGACCAGGCCTCCAACGCCCCCTGGATAGTTGGAGGTGTGGAAAGAGGGAGGGGGCAGGGGAGAGAGGGGTAGGTCAGCCCTACAGACCCTTTGGCTCCTTCCTCTGATAACCTAGCTGCCGTGATCCAAGGGTGAGGACAAGGGTGGGCGGGTATTTCTGTCTGGATCCCACTCCTCACTCTTCAAGCCTTATCACTCAACTCTTTCCAGGCCACCAAGGTCCCCCAGCCTTGACTTGGTGGGCACATTCCCCCTCCCCTTAACCAAATTCATGCTGCAGTTTCTAGTCACACCCCACCCCCACCACTGCCCAAACCCTCTCACTTTAAAGCATTTTCTTCATTTCTCCTTTTGTGGAGGGGCTGCTCCTTCCAAAACCACCACGAGCCCCACTCTATGTCCTGCCCCATCTGGAACTCTCAGTAGGACCTCACACTGAACTTGCCCCTCTCCTAAGCACTACTTCTCGCCCCACTCAAGATCTATCCCCTTTATACTCAAGCTCACACCTGAATGTTCCAAGCTACAGTTCCAATCTAAGACCTGCCCACTCTGGAGCCCACTGTTCTCCTTACTGAAAGAACCCCTTCTAGAGCCACGCTTCCCCTTCCAAGTCCCAAGGCACAGTGCCTCAGGGACTCTTCCTCTAGGCCCCAGATCCAGCAAGTCTGGAACCCAGTCCCTGCCAACCAGTCTCCTTCACCCCACAGCTCTGCGCTGTGGATGTGAAGCTGCCTTCTCTACTCCAGACCCTGTGCAGGTCTTTGAATTTCTCCTGCCCTAGGGGCTGACTTTCCCATTACAGCCTTGGTTCAGGCCTTACTAGAGGAACCAAGGCCAGAATTAGGAGGTGAGAGGAGAAAGGGGAGAGTCCAAAATCACGCTCACCCTCCCCCACACAGCTGAGGCTTGTCCCCTCCCTGTCCCCCTTCCAGAGCCCCTTACCTCAAGAAACAGGGCCAGGAACAGAGAGGGGCTGAGGGATGCAAAGGAAGAGATGGGGGTAAGGGAGGAGCCCACTCAAGACTGGGCCCCAAGTGCATGAGGGAGGTGGGTGAGGGAAGGGCTCAAACAGATAAATAGATATTTATATATATAATATATATATATATATATATATATATATATATATATATAACAGCAAAGACAGGGTCTCCTGGCTTGAGGAGTGGAGACCTAGGGTACAGGGGCAGGAAGGGGGGCAGGCCTTCTTCTGAGCACTTGCCCACCCAGGGGGTTCTTCGGGGCTGCACTGACCTGTAGAGACAAAAGACACAAAAAGGAGAAGGGGTCCAGACACAGGTGACACCCTTGCTGGAGGCCTAGGTTTTCTCCCTCTGGCTTTATCTTCCGCCACCTTTTTCTGTGTCTTTCACCACTCAAAGCTCTGAAGTAAATTTCACCCCAATGTCCCCAATCAGAAGATATTCTTGACTGTCCCCTTCCACCACTTCTGGGTTAGGCACCAAAGTGATTCATGTCCTACCTCCCAAATACCTATTAACTGGTATTGTTCTAGAGATTTGTAAGAAACTATATTGAACCAGTGCACACTTATAATGCCAGCACTCAGGGAGGCTGAGGCAGGAGGATCCCAGTGAGTTCAAGACTAGCCTGACTACATGGTGAGATTGTGTCTCAAAAACAAAACAAACAAAAGAAACTATATTGAGCAAAACAAAGATCCCTATTTTTGTGGGGCTTATATTTTAACAGATAGAGACAGATGTCTCACAATGAACATGATATATAAATGAATTGTCTAGTGAAATAGGTGATGATGAAATGGGATAAAGAAAGTGGAATAGGCAAGGAGGGGAGCAGTAGGTGATGTCGGAAAGCTCACACAGGGCCTTACAGACCAAGTTGTGAGGACTAAAGCTTTGTCTGAATGAGATGTAAGTCATGGGATGATTTATTTTGCCTTATTTTTCTGAGACAGGGTCTTCCTATGTAGTTCAGGCTGGCCTTGAACTCATGGCCATCCTCCTGCCTCAGCCTCTGAAGTGCTGGGATTATCGGTATGTGTCACCACAAGTACAGAGTACTATGAAAAAGATACCAGGGAGATTTGTTTTAGATAGGAAAGTCAGGCAAGACCTCACTGAGCAAGTGACCCAAAAGCTGAAAGGCAGCTGACCTGGGAAAGACTTCAGTGAGTGTGAGTGTGACAATCCGGGGGAAAGGAAGTCCTAAGCCCCTTAAGTCATACTGTGCCTAGTACCCTGAGGTGGCCAGTTTGGCTGAAACTGAATGGAGGTAACAGTAGGAGTGAGCAGGGTTTTAAATATGTAGGATCTTGTGGCCAGAGTGAAGACTTCTGCTTTTAATGTGAGTGCAATGGAGGCTTCCCGGTAACTTCTGAGCATGGGAGGGTCATGGGCTGGTTTAGGGTCTAATAGAATTCCTCCGAATGCTGTGAGTCCACAACAGAAATTGGAGTGGACACCTGGGAACAGGTGTGGGAAGAAGGTGAGAAGCGTAAAGACTAGGGCACAGTTTGATGGATATTTTGATTAGGTGTGGGATGCTCATGCCAGAAACTGGCTTGACCCACTTCCCCTTGCTGTTTCACTTCATCTTCCTGTCTCCTAATTGGGGGAAATCTCATTTTTTTGCGGGGAGGGAAATTGCACTCAGGGTCTTTTCACTGATGTACAACCTCAGCTCTTAAAAAAACCCAACAACAACAAAACATTTTTTTGAAAGAGTCTTGTTGCCCAGGTTGGGCTTGAATTTGCCTCAGCCTCCCAGAGTGCTGGGATCATTGGTGTGCACCCCCAAGCCCGGGTTTAGCACTTTAAAAAAAAATATGGAACGCTTCACGAATTTGCGTGTCATCCTTGCGCAGGGGCCATGCTAATCTACTCTGTATCGTTCCAATTTTAGTATATGTGCTGCTAAAGTAAGCATCGGGTTCAGCCACTTTTACGGTCCATCAAGGAGGCCAGGAAGGCTTTCTAAGACTTTCCACTCCAAACCGTTTTCTGCTCTGAAATTCTACACCACCCCACTCACCCCGTGGGTTGGGGAGAGGTGGCAAATCTACCACTTTCCCAGCTTTGGTGAGCTCCTCTGACCTTCAAGACTCAGCCATTTATCTTCATCATCTACTAGCCTTATCATCGGTTGGTGTATCAGTCCCTTTTAAGACCCACCTCCTCTTTTCTTCTGTAGCTCCTGTGCTTCGAAGAGTCTCTATTGTGCAAATCTCCTTGTTCTTGTCTCCTTTCACTGGCTTGCCATTTCTCTCCCTTGGCCTTCATCTAAAACTACACTTCTTTCTCCTTCCCATTGGCTCCTTATTCTGCCCTTCTTTTGAGGCACCACTCTCCTACTCTCCACTCGTTGGCTAGTTTCTCTATTTTACCACGTAGTTCTGGCTTGCCATTGGTTCCTTCAAACTTTGGCCTTTACTCATCCAGCAAACATCCTAGTACCAGCCATTCCTGACTCTTATTGGTTCACTGATCCGCCTATTTCCTTCCCTGTAACCTAGTTGGCCACACCACCCGCCCATCACTCACCAGGTTACATCTGATTGGAGAAGGAGGTGGGCGCACCCTGTGGGCCGTAGCCTTGCTGCCCATAGTCGCCTTGGGGCCCGTAGCCACCGCTGCCGGCTGGCTGCCCATAGTCGGGCTGGTAGCCGCCCTGGGGCCCATAGGAGTCCTGGGGCCCATACCCGCCGGGCCCCTGCCCGTAGCTCGCATCGCCATAGCCATCCCCGGGTGCGGGTTGCTTCTCGGGGGCGCCAGGAGGTGCACGCAGGAATGGGGCGGCCCAGCCTGTCTCCTTGAATACAAACCATAGATTGCCGACCCAGAGCACGAGGTTCAGGAAGCCGAACACCTGCAGTAAGACAAAGCCGGGCTATGATCTCCTGCCCATTGCCTTGATGGCCCTAGGGAACATCAAGGTCGGGTCGAGAGGAGGAATGTGCATGTAGGGCATAAATCTGTGGGCTGCGTCCCAGCATGTGCAGAAAATCACCTTGGGGGTGCGTGTCAGAATTCAGATTCCTGGGGCAGTTGAGCTGTATCGGTATTACATGCACAAGTATTTATATATTTGTACATATACATGATTGTACATGTCTAAAATATAGTAAATTTAAATTTGTAATATATCCTAAAATATAAACATACATTTGTATTAAATATACTAACAGATGCATGTATACATATGTATATACAAACATAAATGCACATGTATAAAATATTAAACATATAGTATTTGATATAAATGACAATTTATAAAATAGTATAAAAACACAAAACACTTTATATACTTCTTACTCTATGTTATATGCTCTTCTAGGAACTTTTAATGTTATTAGTTCATTTAAAATTCCATTTAGGGGGCCAGGGATTTAGTTCAGTGGAGTAAGTGCCTGCCTGGCAAGCATGAGGTCATGAGTTCAATCCCTGGCACCAAAAAAAAAAAAAATCCATTTAGGGAGAAGGGAGAAATAATCTTTTTTTTTTATCTTTGAGACAGGGTCTCACTAAGCAGTTCAGCCTGGCCTTGAGCTCACTTCGTAGCCCAGGCTGGTCTCGATCTCACAACGATCCTCCTGGCTCAGCCTCCTGAGTGCTGGAATTACAGGCATGAGCCACCACGCCCGGCTGGGAGTAATAATATTTTACTTTTAAATTTATTTTATTACTATTATTATTATTATTATTGCATTTTTTGATATGGGATCTCCCTATGTAGTTCAGGCTGGCCTCAAACTCCCTGGGTAGCCCAGACTGGCCTCAAATTCACAGTGATCTTCCTGCTTCAGTCTCTGGATACTTCTGGGTTTTTTTTGTAATATTAAGGATTGAACTCAGGTGAGCTTTGCCATTGAGCTACATTCTTGGGATATTTTTGTTTTTAATGTTGAGGCCAGGTCTCGCTATGTTTTTCTTTTTCTTTCTTTTTTTGTCTTTTTTTGAGACGGGGTCTCACTATGCAGGTCAGGCTGGCCTTGAGTTCACTTTATAGCCCAGGGTGGCCTTGAACTCCTAACGATCCTCCCACCTCAGCCTCCTGAGTGCTGGGGTTACAGGGGTGAGCCACCACACCCAGCTCACTATGTTTTTCACAGGCTGGCCTCAAACTTAGAATCCTCCTGCCTCAGCCTCCCAAGTAGCTGCAATTACAAGCATGTTCCACGGCATTTAAAAGCTGGTGTCTCCATTTTAAAGCTGAGGAAGGCTGGGCATGGTGGTGCATGTCTGTACTTCTAGCAAGCAAGAGGCTGAGGCAAGAGGATCACCACAAGTTTGAGGGTAGCCAGGGCTATACATCGAGTTCAAGGCCAGCCTGGACTATATAGTGAGATCTTGTCTCAAACAAACAAACAAACAAACAAACAAACAAACATAAAGCTGAGGAAACTGAAGCCTAAACAGTCTAGACTGTTCAAGTTCTCACAGCTAGCAAGTGACAGGGAAAAGAGTTGTAATCTTAGCATTTTAACACTTGTATAAGATTTACCTGTGCCAGGCTCTTTTCGAAGCACTTTGTATGTTATTAGTTCACTAAAGACTCTACTTTGGAGCCAGACCGATTACAAGTCTTCAGTTTACTAGCTCAGATTGAACCCTGAAAAGTTATGTCTCTAGAGTTATGTGTCACAGAGTTTCCAAGAGGCAGAGCTAACATCTGAGTTCACACAATGACTCCACACAGTAGGGGTCATACAAACAGGGAAACATTTCACTTTTTAATTTTTTTTTTTTTTTTTGGTACTGGGGATCGAATTCATGACCTTGTGCTTTCCAGCAGTCACTTATGCCGCTGAGCTAAATCCCCAGCCCCTCTTTTTAAATTTTGAGGTCCTAAGAAGATACTGCATTGTGGGACATTCTACTCGACTAGGTTGGGTCCAGGATGTAGGTCTTCCAAATTTAACCTGCACAGGTCTCCTATTCTCCTCTTGGGGCCTGCATGTGGTATCATGGTGGTTACAATTGCTATCTCATCTTTCAACATTCAGTTGTTTGCATGCTGCTGCCTCCAGGGAGCCCTCTGGGATGTCCGCTGGTTTCCCCCTCATTCTCTCTCCACCATTCCCCACTACAGGACTGTAAGTTTCCCAGCCTCCCTCTTCCAGCCAGCCCATCCAGCTTCCCAGAGCTTACCACAGATGTGTTGAGCCCTGAGGTCACAGGGTCCCTCAGTTCCTTGCATGTGTTCCCTGTCTGGTGGCAGACAGCCATCTCCTTGATAATGTTCTCTGGGTCCGTGGCCATCTTCACATCGGACAGTCCCTTGGCCCAGGCAGAGGAGCTAACTAGCCACATGAAGGCAAATACTGCAGTGGCCAAAAAGTCCTGAGGTGGCAGGGTGAGGAAGATGGCACTGTGAGTAGGCCTCCTCAGATCACAGGTTTCTTGGGGGGGGGGTGTCCCACAGAAGTGGCCTGTGTCTGTCCCCGACTTTTTAAGCTCTGCAGCCTACAGCATTTTTACCTAAAGGTGGCCCACCCAGCTTGAGTTGTGAGCACATTTGACCCAGAGGCTGTGGGAATGTGATTGCAATGTGTGGGTGCTGGCATTGCAGGAGAAACTAGTGGGTTGTTTCCGAATCTGTGGCAAGTGGTGTATCTTTCTGCTTTCATCTGCATGTGGGAATTTGTGTCATTTTATGCCTGGGATGAGGGTGTGTGAGTATAGCGATGTACAAATCAGTGTCTGTGCGGCAGGATGATATGCATGACTGTCATAGTGAACCTTTGTTCTCCTTCCTTTGATCTAGACCGTGTGGTTGTAAGAGTTGGCGGGTTCACAGGTATGGGTCCGTCTGGGATTCTGTGTAGGCTGCGTGTCCCCGAGACTCTGTGACTGTGTGTGCCTGATGTCTGGTAACTCATAGAGACGACAACAGCACCAGCATGTGTGGCTTTTTTTCTGTGGGCATGTCTGGGAGTTAGTGTGGCCTGTGAGCCAGATTAGTATGTCCCAGGGGCCTTGTGTCCCTGAGTTGCTGTATGCAATTGGCTGTGGGGACTCACCAGCATGGGCCCTTTGTTGTTTTCTCGGTACTTGTTCTGTAGGAAGATGTAGGTGGCCAGAGCCCCCATGGAGTAGAGGAAGGCAAACACAGCCACGGTGACAAAGAATTCAGCTGATGAGGAGTAGTCCCCAACGAGGAAGACCTTGGTGGTGCGCCCTCGGCAGTTGGGTGCATCAAAGTACACTTGGTGCAGCCTGCAGAGAGAGGAGGGCAGGTGGGGCCCAGCCTTAAGTATACCCTCCATTCTACTGCTCTGATGCGGTTCTGTCCCCCAGACTCTGACAGGGTCCCAAGAAGAGGGGGAAGCAGCCATTCACAGAGCACCTGTGATATACCCAGTCATACTGCATCGGTTACTCAAGGCATCCTGGCGGGATAGGTGCTATTCATCCTCTACTCCAACCTAGGCACTCTTTTTTCAGCCTGCGCTTCGACTTGATATGTCGCCCAGGCCGCCTCAAACTTGTGATTCTCCTGCCTCAGCCTCCCAAGTGCTAGGATTCTAGGCACATGCCACCACATCCAGCTGATACCCAGATACATCGTGCCTCTCGGTTATTCCTGGCAGATGCCAGGCATCCTTCTATCCCAGGATCTCTGTCCTGGCAGTTCCCCTTGCCATGAATGCTCTTCCCTTTGATATTTTCATGTCTTCCTCCCCCATCTCCTTGAAGTTTTGCTCAGCTGTCACTGTGTCATTGAAGCTTTCCTGTATCTCAGCATTTAATGTGCTCCTTAGTTCCCTTCCTTGTTCCATTTTTGGTTTGTTTTGAGTCAGGGATCTCCAGCTGACACAGGTTTTATAATCTTGATTTGTGCTGTAACCACAAGAGGGCAGGGCTTTTCCCACTGTTTTGTTCACTGCTGTATCCCCAGGGCTTGGCAAAGGTGCTCTGCTGTGAGCAGTATTTACTGAATGAGATTTAGCAGGTGGAAACAGGTTACAGAAGAACACATTAACTTGCTTAAAAAGTCACATGCCTGGAAAGAGTGGACAGAGTAGGGGTCTAAACCTAGTTTCTCCCCTATATCATGTTGATTCTTCTCCCCATCCCACTTCTAGTCCCTGAGAGAGGGAAAAAACAAAAACAAACCATATGCAGAGCAGAAGAAAACCCAGGGACTACAACACAGGAAAAGCTAGATTGACCCAAAGGAGGGCAGAAGGGATCTTGAAACAGGATGTGTGTGTGTGATGGGAGGGGCAGCCTGGGCAGTGTCCTGGGAGCAGGGTCTTTCCTGCGGTGTGATGAAGGGAAGGATTGTGGAGGGAAATGTGTGTGAGCAAAAGCACTGGAGTGAGGGCTCAGAGCTCTGGCCTCAGAGTTGGGGGCAGAATTCTGAGAGTGGGTAAATGGTGATGGTATTCTTGTGTCAAAGAGGTCCTAAGGGAAAGGGCTTACATTTATTAGCCTCCTACTAAGCACTTCATGTAATTGCCTCATTTAATGAGACCCCTTTCTTAAAGTCAGCCTTCTTATACCCGTTTTATGGATGAGCAAGTAGAGACTTAGCAAATGAAGCTACTTGTCCAACGTTGTACAAGGAGTTCAATCTGGGTTTGAGTTACTGTGTTTCTGGTGGGATACCTTTGGAGAGAGTGTGTCCAAAGTGGGGAGGAGTGGTCCTTAAGAGGTATCAGCGCTGTATGGGAGGCTTGTTCAGCAGGACTCAGCACAAAGTTTGTTTTCCGGAAAACTTGTGAGTTAAGGGCAGATCCTTAGACCTCAGATCCTAGCTGTGGGAGTCTTGGTGGAGTGGATAGGAGACCTTGCGGGGTCTCAAAGGGCTAGCCTTAAGCAGTATCCCATGCTGCTAACTGCCCCTTTTTCCCCAAACTTTTCTTCCTGGCTTCTGTGGGTGAGGGAGTCTTGATTGTCTCTCCACCTCTCACAAGCCATCCATTCCTGGTGCCTTCTCTATTTTCCACTGTTGCTCAGGGCCTGTGTTAGGCTTTCCTCCACTTTCATCTTTCTCCTCCTCACTGAGTGATCTCTTGGGCCTACATTTACCCTTAGCATTCCAAAACCCCTTGTCTCCAGTTCAATGCTTGACTTCTTCCCTGCGTTCCTAAAACTGATTTGTAATTGATTTTTTTTGGTGGTACTGGAGATTGACCCTGAAGTCTTGCACATGCTAGGCAAGTGCTCTGCCACTTATCTATATCCTCATCCATTGTTCTGTTTTGAGACAGAGTCTTGCTTAAGTTGCCCAGGCAGGACTTGAACTTACAATCCTCTAGCCTCAGCCTCATGAGTACCTGAGATTATAGATATATGCTACCATGCCCAGCCCTAAAACTAATTTCTTTTACTTATTTACCTAATACTAATGGAACAGTTTTCTTGTGCCAGGCACTGCACTAAACACTTTACAAATACTAACTCATTACAGACTCACCACAATCCTGTGGAGTGGCCATTACCATTACCCCTTTTACATACAAAGGCACAGAGTGGTTAGGTGATTTGGCTAAGTAGTAGAGGAGTGTCAAGTGAGAGTGTGTCTTTGGGTCTGTCTCCCCATGCCTAGGAGCCTGAGCTCACATTTATGCAGCTAGCATCCAGGACAGTGCCCCCTACATAATGCAATCTCAGTAAGTGTCCGAATTGATGAACTGGGTTTCATCATTCCCTATATCTAAGCAGCACCCTGTCATATTTATCCATCAGAAAACCCTACACGAGGATTCCCATCTAGATTTTCTCTCCATCTGAAGCTATCTTCTTTATTAATTTATTTGTTATCATAAAGGCTTTGGATGGGTAGGGAGCTTGTTCTGGTTTAGTCACTGTTCTGTCACCATATGAATACTATCTGGCAAATGATAAGTTTTCAAAAAATGGGCATGGAGCCAGGGATTTAGCTCAGCGGTATAAGTGCCTGCCTGGTGAACAAAAGGTCATGAGTTTGATCCCGGTACCAAAAAATAAAAGGTGTAGAATGGGTGAACGAGTGAGGATTAAGTAATAAATAATATTGACTAACATTGAGCACCTATTACATTAAAGTTTATATATGTACATAACACCTATCTATTTATCTATCTATAGTGTGTGTGTGTGTGTGTGTGTGTGTGTGTGTGTGTGTGTGTGGTGCTGGGGATAGAACCCAGGGGTATGTGGATGTCAGACAAGTGCTTTATCACTAAGCTACATTCCCAACCCTGTCTTTTTTTTTTTTGAGACAAGGTCTGGTAGTGCAGGCTGATCTTGAACTCACTTATGTAGCTCAAACTGGCCTTGAACTCACTGTAATCCTCTTGCCTCAGCCTCCTGAGTGCTGGGATTACAGGTGTGCACCACCATACCCGGCTACTTCTGAATCTTGTCTATTGCCTGTTCCCTATCCTTTCCCTTCACTAGAACAGTGCCAGAAGGCAACAGCCTGTGTCTGTCTTGCTCACCACACGGTCCCAGATACTCAGAGCCAGGTACATAGCAGGTGCTCAGTGCATGGATAGTGATCCCAGTGGTTATGGCCTCTTGGGGTGGGGGCTGGGCAAGGACCACTGGGAAGGAGGTACACTGGCCAGTCCCACCCTCCACCACACCTCTCTCAGGTCTGTGGGCATCTTAGGGTAGTGGCACACCTGAAGGGGTACTCAAATTCAACCTCAATGCTGAGGTCACTCTCGGTCTTGTTGGCACATTCCACGCTCAGCCGAAGCTCCCCGTCGTAGCTGCCGCATGTGGCAAAGGCGAAGATGGCAAAGACCTTGGGTAGCAAGGATGGGGATGGTCATAAGAGAGGCTGTGTGCATGTGTGAGAGTGGTGCCCTCCTCTGGACAGATTGGGGCCCAGCACAGGCGGCAGCAGATGGAGAGGTCCCCACCCCCACTCCTAATCAGGGCTCATCGGGCCCAAGCACAAGCTGATTATAGGGGTGCGGCTGAGTCTTCCCTTCTCCATGTGCTCTGTCTCTAGGTCTCCATGCTTTGGCCTCCCTCCCCCATGTCTCCCTTGTCTCTGTTGTTTTCTCTGGGTCTCACTCTGTCTCTAGCTCTCTCAGTATTTCTTTCTGTGTCTTGTCTTTCTCAGCTGTCTCTCTGATTCTCCCTCTGCCTCTGCCCTTACATCTCGGTGTCTCTTCTCTGTCTCTCTTGATGTTGGTGTCTTTCTGTTTATAGACTATCTTCATCTCTTCTGTCTCTTTTGCAGTCTCTGTATGGTTCTTGCTGTCTCCTTTGTGCCTCTGGTTCCTTGCATATTGGTTTTTCCTTTTCTCTGCTCATCCCCACCACTTCCTGCGTTTCTCCCTGTGTCTGTTTCCCTTTAGATCTCTTTCCTGTCTCCTTTTTCTTTGTGGGTCTCTTTTCTCATCATTTTTCCCTCGGTATTTCCAACTTTGTCTCCATCAGTCCCTGTCTCTCATTCTGTCTCCCTCAGTGTCTCTGGGTTTCTGGCTTTGCATCTCTTCCCCAGTAATCGGCTTCAGGCTCCACCTCCCCCACCCTTCCCTCACTTCAAGAGAGGAGGTAGAACGTCACATTCTGTCACTTCGCAACAGGGGTCCCCTCAGCCCTATGTGATGTCAACAGCCAATCCATTCTCTGGCCTCAGACCCCTGGAACCTCTTCCTGGAGCCCAGTTCCCTCATCCACTTCCACCCCTCCTCTACTCCACTCCTCCAGATCCACTTCCTCCCTCTGTCCTTGCACTGCCCCCCATGACCCAGACCACACTCACCCACTGCAGCACCTTCACGAAGCCAAGGGGCTCCTTGACCACCCGGAACTGACCCCCAGCCACCAGCTGAGGAGAGAAACAGTGGGGAGGGGGTGGTATTGTGGGGTATAGAAAGGGAGGTGAGGGGCAAGACTGACAGATGGTGATCCCTGGAGATGGGGCATGTGACATCTAGAAGGGAGTGACATTTGGAAAGTGAGTGAGGGGAAAATGACACCTTGGGGAAGATATGTGCACCAGGATGTGAGAAGACTCCTGGGATCAGGAGTAGTAGAGGCGTGGGGTGATGGTGAGTCAGGTGGTGGAGGTCAGGGGTGAGAAAGGCAAGGATGGGGTCTGGAGTAGTTAGGGGAGGAGGGTTTGAAAACCTTAAAGGTGAACCAGAGAGGAGGGAGGTTGTGTGGGGAGGAAAGAAGTTGGGGTTCACTGAGGTGGGGGAAGGGTCTCAAGTGGTGAAGGTGAGTCATAAGGCAGCAGGCAGAGTGGCTAGGATGAGGGAGGGGCTAGCGGGAAAGGTGAATTCGATGGTGGAGGGGGTCTGAGAGGATGGGAATGGGGATGAGGTGATACTGGTTAGGGAGGGATGAGAGGTTTCGAGGTGGTGAAGAAGATTGAGATGGCGGAGAGGGTCTGGACTAAGGTGGGGGAGAGCTGGGACATGGCTTCACTGGATGAGTTGATGGAGAAGAGCCTGGAGGTTTTAGAGAGGCAATATTTGATGGCCTCCCTGGGTTTCCTCTGGAGGAAGGGGTGGTCATCTACTGGGGTGCATTGTATGGGAGGGGCGGGTGCCAGACCTCCCCCACCCCCCACACCTTCTGTCACTCTATTTCCTAGCTCATATGCAGCCCCTCCGTCTTTATTTCATTCTCTTCTCCCTTGCCCTTACCCTCCCCCAAGCCCTGAGACCCCTTTGCTCTCCTCGAGGTCACCAGTAATAATCTGGGCTTCTGGCAGCCTCCGCTGCGGCAGTGAGGATAGCCCTCGCTGCGGCAAAGAGCGCGCTGCTTCTTCTCACCAGCTCCCCGTCCTCCCCTCGCCAGCCACAGACGCCCAGCCCCAGCATCAGGGATGGGGTCTCTGCTGTTAAGGACCCTACCCATCACCTCTGAGTCTAGGGGGCTGAAAGCGGCAGACTCTGTCCGAGGTGCTGGAGCGCGTACCTGATTCACCACGTCCATGTCTGCCAGCAGCAGCAGCATCAGCAATGCAGGGGGCGGAAGGTGCCTGCTAGTAAGGGCGGGCGCCTGGCGCGGCGGGGGCGGCGCGCGATCGTCGGAACAGCCCAGGCGGCGGCAGCCCCGCCCCTCGTACCCCCCGCTGCGCTCGCTACGCGCGCTTGCGCACAATGATCCTTTCCCAGTGCCGCCATTCCAGCCTGGATTCTGGAGGCTGGAATCGGTTCCGACAGCGTCGTTGTCAGAAAACATAGGTAGAGTTGTAGGGGAGAGAAGGACAGACTTTCCTACTGTGTGACATTTTACCAACGTCTTTTTTGAGTTTGTGTTCCATTTGTGTATTAAGGATTATTAGCCCCGTTTTTACGGAGGAAAATTGAGTTCCCAGAGAGGTTAAGTGACTTGCGCAAGGTGCTGCCGCTGGTCAGCGGCAGTGCTCAGCGTCTCTGCAGCTTAAGCATAGTTCAAGGTCTTGAAGGTTCCTTTTTGAAAGTCTGCATTTTAAGTACATCCAAACAACAACTTTTCCCTCCAGCTATCTCCTTTCTTTGTTTCTCTTGGTTAAATTCTTACCTGCCAAGGCTCTATACTTCACATCCTAGTTATCCTCAGCAGGCTTTTAATTGTAGCCCTTCCTCCAGGCTAGGCCTATCAAGGTCAATGGTGATTGCCGTGTTGCAAAATCCAATGAAAAAATACAGTTGGGACTTAGGGTGTGCAATTGCACATTAAGAGAAATGTATGTAAAATTACTGAAGTAGCGATAATCTATCAGTACATCATCTTACACATCTGTGAGTGAAACCTGGTAACACTGGTTTCCTCCAAAGGAAAAGAGAGCTTTTCAGTTGATAACCCTTTGTATCTTTTGAATTTTGAAATATCTGAATGTATACCTATTTTGAAACACACAAACCACAGAAATATTTAATAAATACTTCCCAGTTGTTGCCTTATCAAGAGAAGCAGTACCCAGGAGGGGTTAAGGGTTAAAAGATGTGTTTTGGCATTCAGTTGTTTGAATTTGAATCTCATCTCTAATATTTATTCTTGTTTGACCTTGAGCTTGTAAATGGCTTAAAACGACATATATATGTATATGTGTGTGTGTGTGTGTGTGTATATATATATATATATATATATATATATAATTGTGGTACTAATTGGACAAATAAGCACTGTAGTGCATCTAGCACAGGGCCTCCAAAATAGTTCATTTTGTCTCCTTCACTTCACTGTAATCCACTCACTTCTCACCATCTCATCTGTCACCTCCCCTGGGTAAGACGACCATCATTTCTGCCAATTTTAGCATCTCCAGTTTCTTCCACCTCCCTTCTGTTTTCAGCACAGGCAACAGAGCATCTATTTAAAATGTAAAGTTAACCACATCACTACTCTTCTGAAGTCCATCCATGACTCCTCATGCTTTTAGGAAAAAATGTAACCTCCTGGGGCCTGGGATTCAAGACTGCAAGAGCTGCTCTCAAGTGTCCTCTCCCACCTCATCCCTCAGCTGTCTCCTTTCACTTTATGCCCTACCTCTGATTTGCTATCCCACCTGATCCTAGCCCAACCACTTCAAGCCTCTGACTCTATGTTCTGAGTCCTAGTCTCCAATTCTGGCTTCCTCCAAATTTTAGTGTTGGCTTGATTGATACAAATCATAGAAATGAGAAACTCATACTCTGACAGTGAGGAGAAGACCCTAAGTCAGGACCCCTCCCCAGTAGTGGGGCCCCATTCTGAATTACTGTGCAGCCTCCATTTCTTTTGAAGTGGAACTGACTCCCAGTGTGGGTAAACATTGTTTCATGGCTAAGCCCACTCGGTTTGCCCAGAGGGAAACCCAGCATGGTATCCCAGAACACAGTAAATGCCTGATAAACATTCTCTGAGTGCATGAGACCCTAAGTAGGGGACCATGAACAAAGGTGGAGCAAGAAGCAAGAAGAGGAGCTGGAGGGGATCTGTGTGCCAGGAGAGTAAATGGCTCTTAGGTGGTTTCAGGTAGATAAGGAGGGAGTGCTCTGGGTTGGTTACTAAGGACAGAAGCTTTATTTTCATTTACTAATAAATATGCTCAGTTTTTTTTTCTTTCCTAGGCAGAAGGTGGGAAGAGGGAGACAGTGTGATCCTAATTTAACTTCCCTGAAATTCCCAATGCCATCACAAGACCCCCTTGGCCTAAGACACATCCTGTATGAGGCCAGCTCCAAAATCCAGGCCTCTCTTTGGTCAAGACTGTCCTATGGGGTTCCTTATCTGTTCCTACCCATCTGTCTGTCCTTCCTCAGCCTGACCTGACTGATCCCTGCGGAATCTCTGCTTCACACCCCAAATCAAGAACCCCCAACCTCCTCTCTCTACATCTCTGTCCAGCACTCTGCTCCTCCCCCACCACCTCTACTTTGTCTCCAGCTTTTTTTGGCTGCTGTCTCTTCCGCCTCCCTCCTCCTCCTCCTCCTCCTCCTCCTCCCTCCCTCCCTGACGCTGAATAATCAGGCCTAGCTGTCCTGGTTTCTGGAAATACCAGTGTGTGGGCAGTGGCTCAGGGCTGGAACTGGGGATGGATGAGTGGCTGGCTGGCTGGGGACTGCTGTGTAGCCTGTGGCCCTCAGTGCAAAGACACCAGAGTCCAGCAGTGTACAGTCAATGTCAGTTCCCTCTGGAAGAGGAAGGCAGGAGATTTATTGAGCAGTAGGAAGAGGTGGAAATTCAGAGGGCATGGACACAGGCCATCTCATCTCCCAGATCCTCATCATCGAAGTGGGAGAAGATAGACTCCTCGTCACTATAGAGTGAGCTTGTTCCCTGTGCCAGAAGGTCACTGGCAGCACTGTCCATCTCATCCAGTGTTAGGCGACATGCATCAGCAATCTCCTGCTTGGCCAGGGCCACAAAACGAGGGTCTCGGGCAAAGAGGCCAAGGCCCTCAGAAATGAGCACCTAGGAGCATGGGTAGGATTAGTGTTGGCCAAGGGTGCTGGTATCCTGAGGGGTCAGTATGGATGAGTGATATGCTCCTGAGGGTATGCAGGGAAGTGCAGGGGGAGGGGTTTGGAGATAATGCTGAGCAGAGAGGTGTCCACACATACAACACAGAGCCTGGGAATCCCTTTACCCTCCTTCCCCAAATCCCGCCTCTTCCTCTTCTCTACCAGCCTTCTTGCCCACATCCCCTCTGGACTCACAGCCTCCACCAAGCTGTCAGCACTGCCCCTCTTGCTGTAGCTGGGGTCTGAGTGGGTTCCAGGCACATGCAGACAGGCAAAGGTGTGCAGTGCGCTGCTAGATTTGCCCAGGTATCCCTTTCCCGCTGCACCCTCCTCCACCAACAGCAGTGGTGCATACAGGAGCCGACCTCTCTGAGGAGGGGTTGCCCAGGAACCCTAGACCAGAATAAACATCAGAGGGCAGAGATTGAGGGGTGAGTGTGAGAATCTAGGACTCATTCCTGTGAGTCCTGTCTCTCTCCACCAATACAGGTCTGTAGTCAAACTAAGTGGGTGTCTATTGGCCTTGAGTTTGTTTATATTTATTTATATATAATGCTGGAGGATGGAACAGAGGGCTTTGCACCTGCTAGATAAGTACTGTATCATTGAACTATACCCCTATCCCCAAACTTGAGTTTATGCTACAGCAAAGAAAAGCTTAAGGGTCAGCTCTCCTGCTTATTATCTATGTGTCTCGTTGGCTTTTTTTTTTTTTTTTTTTTTTGGTACAAGGAATCAAACTCAAGAACTTGTGCTTGCCAGGCAGGCGCTTATCCACTGAGCTATATCCCCAGCCCCTTTTATTTATTTGTTTATTTTTGTATTTTCATTATGAAGTTCAGGTTAGCCTTGAATGCATGTTGTAGCCCAGGCTGGCCTCAAACTCACAATGATCCTCCTGCCTCAGGCTCCTGAGCACTGGGATTACAGATTACTGGACTTGCTATGTGGTCTTGGGTGAATAAACTTCTCTGGGCTTAGCTTTCCTCATATGTACACATCTCTATCTCATAAATAAGGGAAGATTTTGTATATTCCTACATGTGTGTCTCATTCAGAAGGGCTTGATATGCAGTGTTTGAGAAGTTTAGCCTAGCTTCCCATAACCTTGCAGGTTCCAACAGCCCTCCCCTGGCTCACCTGAGCCCTGCTGGGCCCCAATTTTTGTCCACGATGATAGGTACCCGGGATGGGTAAATCTTCACAACTGCCCTGGCGCTGCAGACACTGGATAGTGAAGGAGGGCTTCTGACCTGTGAGAAAAGAACACTGGCAGTGCTTCCCTGGCTTCCTGTCCAGTTGGCCTTTGACAGAGGTGGGGGCCATCCCTGTTCTCACCTGTAGGTGTAGGAGGCAGCAGACGTCGCCGTGGCGCATGGTGCCCATTGACATATCTCTGGGGTCGGTGAGGTGGCAAAAGAACTGAGCATGGAGGAGTCCCTGCCTGCTCATCCAGGTAGTAGAGCCTGTGCAGAAAGAGGGCTGGGGATGAACCAGCTCTGGACTCCAAGTTGGGATACTCATAGTCCTGCCCTCCGTCCCACAGCTCATGTGTTTATCCTATGTGGCATGGTCAGTGTACCGCTCACGGCTTTCCTCTTCCTCATCTTGTCTGTTATGACCTTTGGTTCCCTTGGGCTGGGCACTTTCTTCTTCTGGGATGGTGAACATGAAAACCCCTGAACTTCTCCTGCAGAAAATAGGCATTTTAGGCAGACCTCCTCCCATATGTGTCACAGGGCCCCTGTTCCTATCACCTCAGGCCCCATATTCTATATAAACACTGGGCTTCAAGATTTTTTTTTCTGGCACTGGGAGTTGAACTCAGAGCCTTTGCACTGAGCTACATCTTTATCTCTTGTTATTTATTTTATTTTATTTTTTGAGACAAGGTTTTGCTTAGGTGTTAAAATGGTTAGGCTGGGCTTGAACTTGTCTTGGCCTCCTAGAGTTCTAGGAATACAGAGCCCCACCACCAGAATGTGGTTTTTGCATTAAACTTTTGTGTTGTCTTTCTCACAAGACTGTGTAGTTATCCTCTGTTCCCACCTGAACCCTTGAAATACCTCCATCCATCCCAGATTTCTACTTGAAGGCCTCTA